GGTGAGTGAGACTTGTAGAAAGCACTTTTGTAGAAAGCCTCAATTGAGGCCATATACTTACAGGCCATTTCCAGACTTTATTGTTTACAGGATGTTGGATGTTGCTTCAGAAGATAATCTGAAGAGCAGCTTGTGTACATACTCCAGCACCATCTGACAGTAAATCAATCACTTACATTAATTCAACAGAATTAATGTAAGTTAATGGTTTGGTTAATGGTTAATGGTACGCTGCGGTGGTGCTGCTGGTGCTAAAGAGATGCATTAGGCTGAAGAAAAAGTCTGGAATGTTGGGGGTAAAACACATTAAAACACATAGAAATGTCTGTTTGTCTGACGACCCATCATGGCAGAACCAAAGAGCCTGGACATTGGTGGTGGGACAATTGGGGCTTAAATGGAGCTCTGAGTGACTTGGATGAGGTTTCACTAATGAGAGTCTAAGCACAGATTTAAACCACGCAGAGTGATGGCTGATTGACTCAAAGAAGGTGGGCAATAAGATGATTATTCAATCCAAACATAAAAAAGTATGAAAGCTATGCTTCATGCAGAATTGTCTCTATGTTTTTGTCCTTGACAGTTTAAACCACAATAAATAGCAATAGCATGTATTTTGCTATGGTTATCTGCCTCTTATAACCCCAGTGATTTTCCTGTGATTTGAAATCTCGTGTGATCTTGTGAATTTCGTGAGTGCAGGCAACTAACCGCTCTTCCTAGATTGTATCATGTCATCTGAACAAGAACAAATTAAGTTTTTGAATTTCATGCAGATCCAACATTATTTAATTGCATTTACCATAGAAACATGAAATTATTTTGTTCAAATGACAAGTTAGACTTTTGTAAATGTAACAACCACCCAATTTTCTTTTTTTTGAGTGTAAGGCTACGTCCACACTAATGCATTTTCGTTTGAAAACGCATCTTTTTCTCTGTGTGGCCTTTCATACACACTGAGACGGTGTTTTCGCTCAAGGAAAACGCAGCATTTTAAAAACACTCGAAAACGCATACATTTGAAAACGCTGCTTTCGTGTCGCAGTGTGGACAGCGAAAACTGAGACTTTTTGAAAACGATGACACATTTTAGTCATGTGATGCAGTGAAGTGACCAATTAAACTAAGATAGCGGAGGGCATTATACAGCAGTTGTTTTGTTTGCTCCCAATTTTGACAGCCCTATTAAAGATTAATATCAGTTTGTACATGCTTCAGATAGCTTTTCTTCAAGTTCTTTAACTCTCACTCGCTTTGCCAACTTTGTACTTTTGTGTTAATCGCAGCAACAACTCCACCTCATTGTTAATCCATTTAAAAAACTCAGTGCTTTTCCTCAACATTTTGCCGCAATGTTTTCAGCTGTTTCAGCTTCACTCTTAGAGATGCTGATTCTCATTGTTGCTGCTTCACACTTGCTTGCAAAGTGATCCAATGAAGACTGTAGGCCACCCTGATGAAGTAGATCACTACCCTATCCACATGGCACAGAACCCCTTGCAGTTGGTGGGGCCAAAGGAGAGAAGGGTTGAGGTTCTTTTGGGCTGAGTTATATGCTAAGGCCCAGCCACCAGGCACTGTCCTTTGAGGACTCTTCCTGGGCCTAGCTCCGAGCTGGTACACTGATAACATAATCTTGGGAAATATATATTGGAATTTTACAGAGGTTTCCTTGTTTAAGACTGGCCCTTTACCCATTTGCCTTGAAAAAACCTACCAGGGTCAAACTGCCTACGGAAACATATCTCCAGGGTCAATGCAGTCTTTCAAAGCACAATAAAGTGGCGATGCATAGAAAGGTGTAGTATAAAACTCACACAGATCTTCTTCAAAGTCGTTGTTAAGCTATATTAGGAGATGTTAAGATGTTATGTTAAGAGATCCTTTGCATTTTGCAGCCTAAGCACTGAGTATTATCCACTGTATCAACTCTTAATCAGAAGTATAGATATTTTGCTACTGTACTTAAGGACAATTTTTAGGGG